GTCGCAAGCGCAGCCGGGCTGATTCTAGAACACACACACCCGGATGAACACTCGCCCGCGAAAACACAGAACAGAGGCAAGACTCACAGCGCCGCAGCGAGCGCAACCAGCTCCCACGCCCACCACTCGGACGCGGTCTGCCCGACGCCGGCCAGGCCGAGGTTGAGCACAATCCCGAGGCTCGTGAAGCTGCGGCGCGAGAACGGCTGCCACGCCGTTTTGGGCGCGATGAAGACCCCGTAGACGATGTTCATGAGGCACACCAGATTGAACGCACACGCAGTCGCAATCGGCGCGCCGATGTAGCCCAGGCGGATCGGCTCGGGGCCCCACACTAGCAGATAGTTGAGCGCAGCGTTGATCGGCGCCACGATGCAGATGATCCGCGTGGGCACTGTAAACAGACCCTGCGACTGGAAATACCGCCTGCGGGGTCGGGGTCAGTGACACGGACCGCGGATGACACACGAGCGACTGTACCGGCTGACAAGGTTGAACGCATAAGCTAAGGGGAGAATGAACGATTGCACCCTGATTCAACGGGGTCATGCGCACCGGGAAGACCCAAGGAAACCCAGCGCAGGTAGAGCGCGGCAAGGTGCGCCACTTCGGGATCCTGCTTCAGGCCGAGCAGAATCACCTCGGCATTGAACCAGATGCAGTACATCGGCTGCACAGTTGTGTCAGTTACGATACGGGCAGCGATGACGGAAAGAGCGCATACAATTAGCATTGCTGCCATCACCACGCCCATCCGCTGGGACCACAGACCCACCAGGTTGGGCTGCGGCGACGTCCACGCGGGCGGCAGGAGCGTGTCCAGGGCGCTTACCAGGCCCTGCAGGATCGAGAAGCCCGACACGCTGCCCGTCATCGAGCCCTAGACAACAAATGAGAACCGGTCGCACGAAGGATGTGATGCGTGGCACACCAGAGTTATGCCAGCCAGCGCCGTCGTGGACAGGTGTCCGATGCTCAGCACGGGAGCAATAATCAGAGAATACTCGAGTAAATGCGTCCCGAATACAGGCAACCTGCGCAGCACCCCGCAAGTCAAGATCCGCTGCCCCGGGGTTGAGCGGTGAGCACGCACGAGTACTTGGTCAGCGTCTTGAGTTCGCTGATATACATGTCATAACCACCACTAGCATTATTATCGTCGTCATTGTCGTTACTGTCGTCGTTGTTCTCGCGAATCTGGGGAGACGCAGACCGCGGATGTAACAGGGGCGTCTCTTCAGTCGGTGTGCTGCGTCGTGCAGTGCTTGGTGGGGCCATGGTAGGCTTGGAAGGCCGTCTAGTGCTGCTCGTGTGACCTCCCTCCTCCCCTGATAACAGTATTTCCCCGGCGGCTGACGCCGCAGGGTGCTCCGGATGCGCTGCCGCGTACCGGGAGACGATATCGTAGTCGGACGGATGGGATCCAGAAGCCATCGAATGGCCGTTGAAGGAGGCCATCGCTGCTGCTATCCAAATGGGTGGGGCGAAGGGGCCCTTGAGAAGGCCTTGTCGGAAGACCGGGAAAATTTGGCAGCCGTGGGTACTCTTTATACGATAATCAGTCTGACTACCATATGGGGACAGACGCGGTGGCGTGACTTTGCCACCTCACACACGTGCAGGCAGGACAAAAAAGAAAACAGCAACACGTTTATAAGCAGAGGGGTTGTCTATCTGCGGCTGGATGAGAGGGCGTCGCTGCCCACACTGATTGTAGCGGAGGGTGAAAGCCCGGGCCAAACTCCGAGGCGACTGCCCTAGATTTCTACCTGACTGCAGCAATTGGTTCTACCTTTCCGACCCGTTGGCTCTAGAGCCTTTAGCGTAGGAGCGTTAAATTCTCTGCAAGCGTTGTGAACGCAGGTGGTGCGATGTCTCCGCTTTGGATCCACTCCTCCGGGAATCCCTTCCATGCATTACAGCAGTAAGCATAAATCACGTATGGGTGTGCACGTCTCTTCAGGGCAGATTCCGGAGCTAAATTGACTCCTGTCCCAATGCGGAAGCTATGGCGGGGTGATCTCATCAACATAATCCATCAGCAAGCACGGCCACACACACAAACGGGTATGGCAGAGCTGCCAACAGTGAACGCCCCGCCGCTGAACTCGCCTCTCCAGAACTCCTCCTCCCCGCGGGACCTCGAACCATCTGAAGGCGACTGGGAAAAGATCCGGAAATGGCAGGAAGAGCGGATCCAGCGGAAGCTCCAGGGCCAGTATGAGTCTGCAGTCTTGCACTTGTCCGAAGTGGTGCGGACCGCCGACTCACCTCCTCCGCCGCGCTCGTTCTCACACGCGTCCCCCACAGCTGCAAAACAACCTCACCACGCCCTCCCAGATATCCTCCGTCCGCGTCGAGGGCGCCAAGAACACACGCCCGAGCTTCCTCAAGTTCCTCATTGATCCGCTCGTGCCGCCCCCAAGCCACGCGAACGACCTCCAACAGGCGCTGCAGAGCGCGCAGAAAATTGGCTCCGTGCTCCGCCGGACAGACATATTCGAGTCCGTCGAGGCACGTTTGGAACGCGCCGAATCACCCTTCGCGTCCAAGTACGACGTCGATCTCGTTTTTGCAGCGAAGGAGCGCAGCCGGTCGTATTTCAAAGCCTCGACGGAAGTCGGCGTCGGCAACAGCAACGAGGGCAGTGCGGTGCGTCTCGAACCCCCCGCGCCACGCGCCACGCATCACTAACCGGCCCCCCCCCCCCCCCCCCCCCATCAGAGCGTCGTCGCGAGCCTGCGGAACGTCTTCGGCGGCGCCGAGACGTTCGAGGCCAACCTGTCCCTTGGGACGACGACCAAGCGCGCATTCAACGCGACGCTCACCGCGCCCGTCACAGCCGACCTCAATACGTATGCGCAGCTGCAGTGCTTCAGCACGGACCGCGACCAGACGGCCCACGCGAGCTGCTTTGAGGGGCTCCGCGGCGCCAAGGCCATTCTCAGGGTGAGCTAGGTCAGCCGCCTCGCGTACTGAGTGCATGCCTTGTTCATTCCGTGTGTGTTTTTTGTCGGCAGAGTGGTTTCCTTGCGGGTGGGATGCACGAATTTGCGTACGAGGGCGTGGTGCGCAACATTGGGAATCTCAAGTCCAGTGCATCACTGAGGTGGGTTTGAATACTCACATCGCACCCGATTCAACGCTGATCGGTCGCTAGCATGCGGGAGGCTGCTGGACAAACGATCAAGTCGTCGGTCTCGCATACGTTCACGCTTGATAGCAGGAACGACAGGATCATGCCCACCGACGGCATGTATCTAAAGACTTTGCACGAGTTCGCAGGACTCGGAGGCGACGCGTCCTTCGCCAAATCTGAAACACACGCCCAGATCTCGCGGCCTGTGCTTCCTGGCGTGGTCAGCCCACACATCTGTCTGATGCGGCTACGCTAATGCACTGTTCCAGTCTGTATCCTTCGCCGCACGCTCGGGTATACTATGGGGGCTTGGCAAGCCCACATACTTTTCGGACCGATTCGAGCTCGGGGGCCCAACGTCCATCCGGTCGTTCAAGCCGAACGCTATGGGACCCCGGGATGCCGGTGAGCATCTTTCTGATAAAAAAGTGGTACTCTCCTGACACACGGCCAGGGGACTGGCTGGGGGGCGATACCTACTGGTCCACGGGTATCAGTCTCATCTCGCACATCCCGACCAAGGCACACTGGCCACTCAAGTCGCATCTCTGGGTCAATGCTGGGAGACTGGACAACTATGATAAGAGTGAGATCAAACAGTCTTGGAGACAGCACTACGATGCTGACTTTGTGTCGTTGCAGACCGCTCGGCCGTAGAGAATGTCAAAGACCTGGTGACGAGGCCAGCTGTGTCGGTTGGTCTGGGGCTAGTATACGACTACAACCCGATTCGACTGGAGCTCAACTTTGGACTGCCCGTTGCGGCAAGCCAGAGTGATGGCACGCGACGCGGACTGCAAGTTGGGATGGGACTCGAGTTCTTGTAGTGAGCAGATACAAAATTATACGTGTATTTATTAGCGTAGAAGCCACTCCCCTCTGTGATACAAGCATTACGGATACATGTAGATATAAAGCGCGGCACCTTCAGTTGCTCAGTATCGGGGCTTTCCTGATCCACTCTCGCCGCTCCAGCTCGTCGATGATGAATGTCGCAGCTCCCGCCCTCGAAGACACAGGCTTGATCCTCCCGTCTCCCATGTAGCCCGCCACAATCTCGTGCTCGCCACCGCCGCCATCGTCGGAATGTAGCGCCAAGCGTATGAGCGTCCAGTCCAGATCCGTCTCTCGCACGACGTTGCCAACCGCCTCGATATCCTTCACAGCATTGCGCGCGATCGTCGCAAACGTCTTTCGCAGAAACACAAGCGGCAGCGAGAACCCGTCTTCGTCGTCACGCACCGTCGGCGTCGTGAGCACGATCAGCCGCCGAACGTCGTGCTTCTTCATCGCCAGGATGATGAACCCGTAGGCAACCGCGATGGGCGTGCCGGCGGGGTAGAACGGGCCCTTGCGCCCCGTCGGCCCGAGCGCGCTGATCACTGCGTGCACGCCCTCCATCGCCTGCGAGAGCTTGTCGATCGCATTCAGCTCGCCCTCGACGATGACCACCGTGCGCGCGCCCACGAGGTCCGCCGCGAGCTTCAGTTTGTCGCGCACGTACAGGATGAGCGTGCATTGCGGGTATGCGGCCAGGAAGCGCCGCGCGAGCAGCACGCCCATCGCCCCCGAGCCGCCGAATAGTAGGAGTCGCATAAAGTCGAGTGCGTCAGTCCGCACCGGCGCTTCTTATAAAGTTCGTCTCAGCTCGCCGAGTCGCCCTCGCTCTTTCTTGGCAAAAAAAAAACGGAATGGGCCAGAAAATATTTGCCGAAATTGACGTCAACACACACATGAGGGTTCCGTCCCCGACGGTCGTACATGGCAACCTCAGCTCCCGTGCGCGTTTCACAGGCATCAAAAAGGGAGTGAGCCCTTGTGCAGCATTGTGACAGAAAAACACGTGCATCCGTGACACCGCGCGCTCCTGCCAGTGCCAGTGCTGCGCCCCACAACGGCCATGTCCTCCGGCTCCCAGTCAATATACACGCCGACCGTGCTTCCGCGTCCCCCGATCTTCCCCAGGCTCCTCCCGAACGCACCCCTGCCCCAGCCTGCCCCGTTCCCGCTCCAGGGCCGCGTGTACGGGCGCCTCAATGCTTCGCGCAATCTGCAGCGCGAGATGGACGACCTGAGTGACGAGGAGACGGAGCTCGAGGACCTGGTTAGTCTGCCCCCGATCCCATGCGCCGGCTCCCAACTGCGACTGCGTGATTAACACCCATGACTTGCTCTTACAGAATCTGGTGATCCGGCACCGCGGATTCGGGCATCTCGTGCCTATAGGCCGGACTCTGACGCAGCAGGAGGAGAAGAACGACGTGCGTGCGCCGGACGTTCTTAATCACGTCGCATGTTGTAATCATCGCACTCCCATTAGGCCGAGTCCGACGAAAGCGACAGCGACTCGGGAGGCTCGAACAGCCCGCCGTCCGTCGAAGACGTCGGAGACTCGACGCAGGACTTGGATGCTAGCATGGAGGATCTGGATGAGGAGGAGGAGGACGAAGAAGGTGATGAGGACGCTGACGAGGATGACGAAGAACCCGAACAATCGTCCGAGATGTAGTCATGGCCTTGTCCTTGACATTTATCCTGTACTTTTGTAGAAATCCGGTGTATTCAAAGACATACAGTCTGCAATGAATGACTGATCTCAAGATAAGGGAAGGATAGAGTATTCGATGTGTGCGATGTCGATATCGTTACAAGAAGCGAAAAGAAAGTAGTTATCAAGATCAGTCCGTCATATTAAATCTCTTCAAGGAGCTTGTAACCAGATGCTCTTCAGCTTATCGAAGATGGGCGTTCCCAATCCAGTCACGGGATCGTATCCAGGAGTGGCATTGAAGCCCTGAGTGCCACAGCCCGGGTTGGATCCGAGCGAGATGTCCTTGAACGCGCCCCTGAACGCTGGGGAGTAGACAGCCGGGTTGATGAATCCGATGCGGGACTTCCCGACGGCGATTCTGGCGTCGTTAATCATCGTGAGCATGGCCGCAACAACCGGAGCGGATGCAGACGTCCCAAACACTAGACCGAACACACCGTCCACCTGTCGCACAAGATGAGATGGAGATCGTTTGACAGCGCAAACAGAGGTCTTACAGCGATGACATAGTTGGCGCTGCTTCTGGTTCAGAATCGGGCGTCACATATCGCAAATGAAACTCACCCGTTGGCAGCGATATCGGGGTAGGCGCGGGCCTGCACAAAGATCAAAGTCAGTCTTGAAGCATCCCACGAAGGATCGTGTGTACCGTCTGTGAGTTGTTGAAGACATCCGACCCATATGTAGGCGGATATTTGGTAAAGAAGTCCTTCACAGCGCCTGCTTGATACTCTGAAAAGGAGTGAAAATAGGCTCGTCAGTTTGCAACACGACTGACGAGGCATGTCAAAGTAGTTGCTAAATCCGCCGCCGCTGTAGATCACCGTCGTGCACGCAGTTTCGGGATCCGACACTGTCTTTCCGCGGGCAATCTGGGTTGCACCAACTGCAGTGACGAACGGACACGTCGACGGGAACGATGGGTTGAACATCTTCCCATCGTAAGACTGAGACCCGTCGGCATTCAGGCATATGTCGCCGTTGCCCGCGACACCGCCGTCGCCCGACGAGTAGACGATCGTCACGCCCATCATGCCGAGCTTGGCATACTCCTTGCACTGGCGCAAGGAGTATTCGTACGACAAGTCCGCCTCGTTGTATCCGTAGGACGTCGAAATCACATTCGCCGGCTTCACCGTCCCGCAGTCCTGCTCTGCGCGAATGACGTCACAAGCAAGCTTCGGCCGTCGAGAGCGGGAACGTACTTTGGTAGCCACCGGGAGCGGAATCTGGGTAAGTTCCGTCGTAGAAAGGGTCGTCTCCGCCTTCGAAGGAGCAATACGTCCCATCAATCGCATCTATGAAGTTGCCGAACGAGGCGCCTGCTCTCTATTAGCATCGATTTCTTTCGGGGATCGACACTAGACGCACCCATCATAGGATCTCCGACCTGATACAGATCAACGGTTTGTCGGTCCGTCACTAGATTCATCGCATATTCCAAATCCAGATCGGATTCACCGTTGGTCGAAAAGCTCTTCGAAGTATCGAGAACGCCTGCAGAGCAGTCCATGCACGTCTTGGGAGGGAAAAACAGACAGACGCACCACCGTCGATCGAGTGGAACGTCGGCCGCACCCCCTTGAGAGACCCTCCTGTGATGGAGGGGAAAGTCTGAGCGAACATGTCGAGGTCGGGAGGCGAGTACGACTGCGGTGTGTATTCCACAATCCCGAGCGAGTTCTTGCTGCCCATAGTCGGGATATAATTGAAGTTGTACAACGCGCGGAGGCAGCTAGGTGTGATCTGAGAATCACAGCTGCTGAGCGACGGAGAGACGCCGTTGGCAGCTTCAGAGAAGACGGCCTCCGTGCTGAGCTTGATATGCGTAGAAGCCGGCTTGGGAAGCATAACGGCAAAGTCTATTGTGGGGGTGACCAGCTCGACATGCGGCGCAATATGGGCCGGAAGGTGGTATTCGTTGCACGCTGCAGAGATCAGTGGACTAGACGGAGCGGAAAGTAAAGCCACGAACCGACATGCTTCACTCCTGTGGCTGCGTGAGTGAAGACATGGTATTCAGTGCTCAGTAACTTTTCAGCCTCGGCCACACTAGCATTGACGATTTCCACCCAGCCCGCGCTCCTGCTCACTCGGACGCGATAGCTGTCGACACCGGCCGCAAGGATCCATCCCTGCACCGCACTCGCACTCTCCGCACTCGGTGCAAAATAAGCTTGCACACGCGCAGCCGTCCAATGAGCCCCGTAGTTCGGAGACTCGGGATGTGAAACGTCGTTCAGAAGCCCATGCAGAGTGTTCATGTCCGAGTTCGGCTGCGTGAGCCCGAATCGGAGGAGCGGGATCGTCGCGTTGGACGCGTGCCGGCGCACGCGCACCCACCCGCCCGGCAGTGCCGTGCGTTTCGCATGTGGAGCAGCCGCTGCTGCTGCTGTAGCCACTGCAGCCAGTACCACAGAAAACAAGATTCGCATGACCAGCGGGGAAAGAAGGGTTGGGAAAGGATGGTCGACTGGGCTCTAGCGTCCCTGATTTATGTACACCGGGACTTCCTTCTGAATCTCCTTCCTTTCTTTCCGCCCGCACTGGCTCCCCCTTCCAGAGAGCAAGGACTCGATTACGCGAGCATCATCGCATACTTCGATTTCCGAGGCGAGTCTGTTCGACTCATTGAGGAATTGAGCGCCACAGAAGGGACACAGTACCGTTTCGAAGCGTAGATCCAGGCGGCTGTTGTGCGTTAGCCTGCCCGAGGCGCGTCGCGGAGGCATGCGCACAGGAACCGAGAACTGGGGAAGGGACATGCGTGCGATGAGAAGCGGGCACAGAGGGGTTTGAGGGAAAGTGCTCGGAGTTGTCAAAAGCCAACCATTCAGACAGACACAGACCATCAAAATCGCGATCGGACATGACCGAATCCGAACTGGCTTGATCGCAACCGCTTCGATCGGCGACAAAGAAACTACGCAGAAAGCTAATGCCTGTCCTCAGAGCCAAGAGATCACATAAATTCAGCGCTCGCCACTCAATATTCAATCCTAGTGCTCTGCAGCCTTTTCCTCTGCGGCCGGGTGTTTCTCCTTTTGGCCTCCCGCACACGACATTCAGGCGCATAGACCCTGAACAAACTCGAGCAGCACTCTTCTACCCACGCCAGATATGAATGCGCGAATGCGCGAAATCACCGTCGGCATCAGGCCCGGGATTGGATCTATATCACCTGCATGGACAGGGGGGTTGTCTGTCGCAGGATCCTTCCAAGAGTGAGTAGCAGTCATATGCGCCGCCCGGTTTCTACTCGGGCCAGGGAGTCTGATCAGCATCTGCCTGCTGGCTGTTCATAGTGGTGCCTTCAAAGCCGAGTGGATTGGAGCGGTGCTCTGAATTCAGTGCACAATGTAAACGAGAGTAGTCAAAATGAGCGACAAGCAGTATGAGATGCTACGTGTGGATGGATGGTGGTATACGGAGTCTATGTATACAGTGGAGATGCTGTTAGTGGGGTTCCAGAGTAGCCAATAGGTAGTGTGTATGATGTCCTTTCAAGGATCTTCCTCGCCTTCCTCAAGCTCAAAGACAGTACGCAGCACTGAGCATCACCAAGGCCGCCACCAATGAAGCGGGTCCCAGGTGGACATTCGAGACGGCTGCGCCCGTTCCCTGCGCGGCGCCAGTCGTCGAGTTGACTGTCTTGGCAGAGGTGGATGCAGAGCCTTGAGCGCCACTCGCTGTCGAAGTCGAGTTGGCACTAGCGATGCCAATGTCTGCAGAAAATGTCAGCTACGTAAATGACAGAAACGATGGAGACCGACACTGGGCAAAGCTCGGACCCGTGTAGTTGGTCTCGGTGTAAAGCTGCGTCTTGTTCATGGCGGCAAAAACGGGGACAATGTGCTGAGTACGTCAGCATAAGATGAATGACAGGAGACGGCATTTTGAACAAGCGAACCTTGAAAACACTGGAAAGAGCCGGGTAATTGTCAACAGCAGTCTGCATGGTAAAGTTGTTCAGCTCGTGGGCCAGGATGATGGCACCGTTCTGAAGTATGTTCGTCAGTGGCGGATCGAGACCACAGAAGCCAACACTCACGTTGGCGAAAGCTCCAGATTTAGCCGCATTGATAAGGGTATTGTAGTTGTTCTGGACATCGGCAGGGGTGACGCCATTCTCACCGGACTCCCAATCCTTGGAATCGTATTTCCAGAGCACATTGGTAAGGCCAAGCTGTTGAGCGATGAATCGAACACGGTCGTCGACGTCACCAAGAGGGGGCTGAAAAGGGATGAGTTGCCGAAATGATAAAATTTCTGATGTTGCTCACACGCCAGCAAGTGGGAGTGTAACCGGTGACGAGCTTGATAGCTTTGACCGTGTACCAGAGCTCGCCAAACACTTGTTCGTTCGTAAAAGCAGTCATCGACCTGTGCGACCAGGAGTCTGGAAAAGAACCCGGTCAATGTCACGACAGTGATAAGACGGTTCTGCACTTACGAACACAGACTTCGTGGTTATCCGTGACAGCGCGCTGAGCCTGGAGCGGCCAGTCTACGACGTTAGAACCAACGTAGAAGAAAGCTGCGTTCCAGAATTGAGCCCGGCGTGAAGGAGGCAAAACGACAACGACACGTACTGGCTTTCTGCTTCTGCTGGGTCAAGTAGTCATAAAACGCGTTGTGAGAGCAGTTGGGGCCGTCGTCGAATCCGTAACCAAGGGTCTCCGGCTAAACAGGACGAGTCAGAATTGGGTCCTAGATGCGGAAGCAAGGAGGGAAGATACCTCGGGGACCAGGGCAATATCAGGGTTCACGCCAGCTGCTTTGGGTGTCGTGCATTGCGCGGAAGACCACCAGCAGTCCGGGTCAGACGGTGAGTACGTTGACAGGGCGTTCGGGTCCGGCACACCAAGAGTGCCCTATCAGGGGGTAAGCGGGGACACAAGATACAGTGAAGGGGAAATGAGAACCTTGGGCGCGATGTTGGGGATGTTGGCCTTCATAGCCGAAAACTTGGCCTGGCCCTCAGCGTCGTTGGCCAGGATGGCAGAGACGGGCTGCCAGATGGGGGGAAACTGGGTGGCTGCCATGGCGTTGGCAACAGGCGTGTACGAGTAGTAGGCACATTCTGCCGTTGCATCTGTGAAAGGAATGTGTTGTCTGTCAGCACATTATCACCAGGCCCACACCAGAGCGGACGCGCCTTTGATAGCAGCTTGACTGGCCTCAGTCCCGTCAGCACGGACATACGCCGAGAGCAGAAGGAGAGTGGCGCCGTAGAGAGTGGATGACGAGCGCATTATCGTCGGATTTTATGGTTGAGGGGAGCGGAGTGGGCGACTTCAACTCCTTCGTGACAGTGGTGGAAAAAGGAAAAGAGACGGAATTGGCTCCCATGCACGAGTTCGGATATACTCCAATTAAGCGAGACCGTGATCGGTGATTGACGAGCGCTGATCAGCTTCGGCAGGACCCCGGATAACACAGTCAAATGTTGGTCCTAAAATTAACTGATGCTCACCATATTTGTAGTATATTTATACAACGCGTTTCAACTTCAAGGCCAAGTCCAGCATTTTTGTCCAACCCGCAAATGGGTTCCGAAAGTAGGATTTTTTAAAACATAGACGTCAAAACTTGAATTTTTACCTTAAGCAGCAATTTCCAGGAAAAAAGGGTCAGTGCCCAACCAGGCTACATTTTGTCCGACCCTAAACCGAAGTCCAGCGCCATTACTACACAATTTTTGTCCAACACCCTACTGTTTTGGGGTAAGTGCTCTACCTAATGTCCACCGAAATTGTCTAGATAGCGGCTAACATATGACTGCAATATCTGGGGTCCTGCCTCGGCATGCTCGGCCTCTCGGCAAACCAGACCAAAATCAGGCAGCCGAATTTCAATTGAAAATGCTGCCACCTCCCGAGTAATGAACGTGGATGAAATCAAGTCGTTGTCAGGTGGCATTTTATATAAGATACATGTAGGTGACGTGACATCTAAAGTTTGGAGTCCTTGAACTTGGCGAGGACCAACGGTTGGTCTGGACGCGAGCCATTCAGCAAATTGAATCCTGTCCGTTACATGATCACACTCACAGGTCGCATCGTACAAGTTGTCCCGAGGAGCGAGGCCAGCGTGAGAGTGCAGTGCCCTTGCATCCACCAGCTCAGGGCCGAGCTCGCTGAGTTTCGTGACGCCGAGCAATCGCATGTTCATCTCAAACTCATCCTACTACCGTTGAGCAAAGATCTGTGGGAAAGGGAAAAGACTAACCCGGAGGATCTTGATGGCATGCTCGACACCCTCTTGTCCGTAGGACGAGAAAGCGTACAGGAATCCTCTCCCAATACCGACCGCCGAGGCGCCAAGCGCAAGGGCCTTGAGCACATCACTGGCTCGTCTCACTCCTCCGTCGACAAACACGGAGAACTTGGGGTTAGGCCACGGCCCGCGAGTCTTGAGGGCAGCGACAATGTCGATGAGATTCTCCAGCCCAGATCGGGCGCTGTCGAGTTGACGACCACCGTGGTTACTGAGCACAATGCCCTGCACTCCAGCCTCCAGCGCAAGGATAGCATCGGCGGGGGTGGACACGCCCTTCAAGATGATAGGCACTAGACACAGTCAGTACAAACTCTGGATGAGTTGGCACTGTATACACACTCTTGGTGATGCTTCGGAACCAAGGAATGTCTTTCCAAGACAAACTCGGGTCGATGAACGACTGCTCGGATGTTAAAATGAGCACGCTTTCATTCGGCAGGCACTCACGCTGATGGCACGAGCAATGCCTTGGTCTTTCTTGACATCAGACTGTCCCTCTTGGACCTTGGCGCCAGCCCCGTCGTCCACGAACTTCATCCGCATATCCTTCTCTCGGCGACCCAGCTGGGGAGCATCGACCTTGGCGGCGACATCAGCATGCATCGCACGGCAAACAAATAACACACCGTAATGAAGAGACCGGACACACCACGCTTCTCAGCATGTTGCACATACTTGCGCGTAATCTCCCGATCCCCGTTGACGTACAATTGCACGAACAAGGGTTGCCCGGGTTGAGCAGCATCCATGATTTCGTCGAAGGAGCAAGAAGCCAAAGTCGGGATCTAAGGCCAGTCCGTGAGCGAGTGAATGGTATTCAATAGCGCACTACGAACCATCTGGATGACGTTGTGCTTGGCAGCAGCACGGGTCAGGTTCAGCTCGCCGTCAGGATGTCCCAGTTTGCCAAGTGCGGTCGCGGACTGCGCCAAATCAGCAAAAGAGTCGCTGGGACCAATGGGAACATACAATGTAGACTGGAAGAGAGGACTTGTGGCCCAAGATCGTGGTCGACCAATCCACCTTGGTGACATCACGCAGGATGCGAGGCAAGAAGTAAACACTGAAGCCAACTCAGTCTCCACACACAGGCTCGGAGAAAAACATACCGCTGGTAAGATGCCCTGTTCTCCCGAATGGCAAGCTCATCGTCGGCCGCAGAGGAGTAGTACGCCCACGACTTGGCGGGCAGCACGGCTTTCGCCACGGCCTGCAAATAATGAGAAGGCGAGCTATGGTCACCTTGGCGATCAGCGCACCTCGAAATCATGCAGATTCAGAACCTCGTCGAGCGGCGGACGGCGGGCAAGCAGCTGCTCACGCTCAAGCTCTTCGGCGGACTTGACCTTCACGCCAGTGCTGGAGCTGGCCTCGGCGATGCCGAGGTGCTTTTCGGGAGCCAAGTTCGAGGTGATCATGGTCGGAGGGTGGATTGGCTCGTAGGCGGCACTGCATGACCCAATAAGACTTGATGCAAGAGCAGCGTTGGACGAGCTCACGTTGCATCCGTTCCTGCGTATCGGAGGATGATTCGGCTGCCTCCTGGGTGCTCTGAAGCAGCGGTCAGCAAGCAAGGGTGGCTGCAGGAGGTAGAACATACCATCCAGAAAGTCGGTGATATCATACACCTTGCCTGAGATACTTGAGTCGGATTCGGAATGCAAGCAAGAGCCACATACCATGAACAATGATCCAACAGCTCTCCCGAGAGTTGTGCTGCGCAATGACGCTAAGAGGGATTGTGGAAGAGGCGCTCATTTCTGTGTTGGGCCGGTGGTACAGTGAAGTGAGTTACATCCCACGCCAGTTTAAAAAGCGCAAAGCGGAAGCGGGCCACCGCTGTGGTGTCGGGACTGGGTGGAGATACGGCTTTCCACAAGACTGATGCCAATCTTAACGCCGCCGTCTAGCGTTCTATTTCGCAAGTGTGTTGGAGTTACAGACGGAACCAAGGACGCGGACCCTGCGTGGATCAGTGCTTGAATACGGGTCCCGTGGGACTAACAAGTTGGGCGAATCAAAAAGGGACAACACGTCTCCGAATCAAAGAAACGGCCAAGACGGCTTCCGTCCCGCGTGAAAGTCGGTGCTTGACCCCGCCAAGACCCGCAATCAACTTCTTTCAACGACCAATATGTGGATGATGAATTAGAATTGAGTTTGTCTACTCCCATGCATGGAATTCAAGTATAAGGCGGAAAGCATGCGCCATGGCGTCGCGAGCGGAGCACTTCCAAACGCTGTACACCCTCTTCAGCAAAAAATTTCACAACTCCTCAGACGCGGAGAAACGCACACACAGACAAAACTACCACCCTCACTGTGCCCGACACATCACCTCGCCCGACAACTTCATCTGCACGGCCTCCCTCGCCTCCAGCCACTCGTTCTCCTTATCCTTCGTCCTTATGACAATAACTTCACCCAATCCCAGCGGCTTAACGTTCTGCGCTCGCCGCCCCGTGCACAACCGCCGAATCTCAGACAAGTCCATGAACACGCGTTTGCTCGGTTTGCTGATGACCTCCATGTGATGCAGCACCGGGAGGTCGTTCCGGTACTTGAGGTCAGCCCATATGCGTTTCTGCGCGTCGTTGACGGTGTGGAACGCCAGCGGGTCGGGTTCAGCTATCGTGCCTCTGGATAGGTTGGACACGAAGCCACTGCGCAGGAGGATGGAGAGGATGCCCAAGTTTTGATTGCTGTGGTTCAGGGAGATCTTTTGGTGACGTGCGCGGAAGGCATTTTGGACCCGGGCGCAGAGGTCGTGTGGGAGGACCATTATGAGAGAGAGAAAAGTTGGCGACACAGCCACTGATGTTGGATTGGCTGAGCGTCAGATTTGGTCTAGACTCTGAAGATCCAATTCAAACGGCACTGTAACGCAACAGGCCGAAGCCGTAGAGTTATGTCTCCACCTTTGATCGTCTTTACGAAGAGGGACATGGCATGGCTAGAAAGTATCAGAAGTGCGGGACTTGCACTAAAACCACTCGTTAATTACTTGAGAGATAGCAAGTGTTTGTCCCATGTTGTCTGGTGAAGTATTTGGCCCTGGACTTACCGGTGAAATCTAGAGTTTAGCCTGCCACATACATATCACTTTTTCATAGTAGAATATAGGAGGGTATAAATGCAATCTGCAATAGGACATGGTACTCTGGCCCAGAATCTGTTAAATGGATTGCCTCGATACAGCAACAGAAACACACTCAGAAATCAAGGCATTGACAGCAGAATCACGCCCCCTATTAAATATTCTAGACAGTAAGTTTTCCTGGCGGGAGTTCACATTAATAAAGGTCTTCTGTGCAGCCATCCCTGTAATCACTTGTCTAAATCTACATGCCAATTGTTCAATTTGTAGTAGTCAGAACTATCATTTCATTTCTACCTCACCGCTTTCCCCCAAATGCTTGAATGATGGACTGCCTGAGAAATGCATTCTGATGTGGCCAATAGAAGTGCTCGATTAGGTGGGATATCTTCAGAGATGCTCTTCAATTTCAACAAGAGATGATAATCATTGGCAACTAACATCATACAAAGAAGTGATTCTGATAGCAACAAGAAAATAGTAACAAGAGAGGTCAAGGAGTAGAGCAGAAGAGAGGAAGTCTCGAACATATATGACACCAAGATCACATCCCTTGAATTACTATGATAGGAAATCATCCTAGATTCAGGTGTTAAACTGGGGAATGGATAGAAGGGTCGGAATGGGTGTAATAATAAGCAACAGCTCCAGATGTTACCATGGTGCTGTCCATCCCCAGAACCTTTGAGTAAGGGCTCACACCGTTGCATCTTGTGCGGCACAGTGTGGCATTTGTCATTTGTGATGTATGGTTTCCCAATTTTCGTCATGAATGATTACCCTTTTGTATGCTTCAGTGATAGTGGTAAACTGAAATTTCATTGACATATATATGGGAGACTGTTTGTATGGAGGATTCGGCTAGCCTTCTTTTCCGCATTTTTTGGGACCAAATTGCTCCACTTATCCATCTGAAGAGCTCTGTTGTCCTGAGATGGGACAGTAAGCATTGCTGACTGGATGAGGGAATTACAGCCTGTGAATGACATCTATAAAACCTTAAAATAGGGCGCTCTTTACACCGGAACCGGGAGTCCTTACCGGCACTGACACACTTTCGGGCATGGGCCGCTCCATTACAATGTCCCCCGAGGCATATTACAAAGTACAGACTTCCTCGTCGCTCCCGGCAACCACGACAGTAGCATGGCACAGAAGCACTCCACCAAGCCTGTGTGCCTTATGAAATTGACATGCACCACACTTGTGCGAAGCTCCCGGCACTTTGGTCTGACACTATCTGACACCGCTACACGAGTCTGATGGCGCATCACCAGCGCATCACTGTCAATCGATCGTCGATCGTGCTTATCTACATCTGCAAACAGCAGCTGACCCTTGACCGAGACCAATGGAATAGAAGACCGCTTCGACACGCCATTGATGATTCGCACGGCCGTTACGGAACATAAATATGGTACTTAATATCGAAGAGTTTTCTTGTCTCTTCCCGCATCCATGTCGGACCACGATATCGAGAAACAGTCCGTCGGCGTCGAGGAGGGAAAGTCCGTGGAGTCTATCGACCTCTATTCCTTCCATGAGCAGGCTGCGGGTCGTTTGGTCATCGACCCCGGGTGAGTCAGACACGAGACTTCTCGACGTATCTCTCGTCGCGTTACTGAACGTCGGGCAGTGAGGCCGCAATCGAATTCGGGGAAGCTTTCGCGTCGCGTCTCAAGCTCTCGCGCGACGGGACGAAAGTTCTGTGGCCGCAGGTGCGTCGCGTTTCGTGGCTTGGAGCTCCACACGCGCGTTACCTTGTTGACCCTTGCCAATAGCCGACCGATTCCCCGCATGACCCGCAAAACTGGAGCGACGGCAAGAAGTCGATGCTGCTGATCATCATGACCCTCGTGTGTCTCACCATCCGTTGTTGAGAGCCAGTTACCGATGTTGCTCAGGCTGCTATTGTGCCGGACTTCGATTCCGGAATTGGTACGTTTTACACGCGTGTTCTCGCACTACGGCTCTGATGTAACCCGTCTCGCAGGCATTGCGGCTATCTTCAAGTTGGCTGCTCAGTACAACACGACAACGGATGTCATCAACAATCTCACCTCGAAGTACGTTTTTACGGTCATCGACCAGATATCTTCCTAATCAGTCCAAAAGCTGGAGTATCTTCTTATTGGGTGCGTTCAACCCAGGAGGGTCTCGATCTTGATCCACTGACAAAGCACTCAAGGCTGGGGAGGCATAGCTGCTGTGTGAGTCTGGATTCCTATCTTAGACATGTGCAAGACCACCTGAACTTTTCGGACGCAGGGTGTTCATTAGGCGATTGGGACGTCTGCCTGTTCTGTTTTGGTCGCAGGTCATTACGGCTGCTCTTCCTTGCCGATAAGCGCTGGACTCAATGACGTTTTTCAGCTGCTCGCTCTCGCGTTCTTGATTGGCGCCACCTTCGCACCCGACTTGAACACATTTACCGGTAAGCCACGAAACTCATTCTCTGTCCATCTGTCTCACCCGTGTGCGATAGCGATGCGATGTCTGACTGCGTTCTTCGGGTTTGTCGCACGCCTTCCCACAGCGCTCTGCTTGGCCCTTACTCAGTCACACGCACAGGTCGGCACCGCAAGTTACCGGACTGTATGTCGTGACCGATCTGTATCCCTTTCATCTCCAAGCTCGCATGGTCCGTCGCTATCCCGACCTGCACCACGGGTTCTATTGATCGCATCTGCAGGTGAACTTCTGGACGATGGGATTCATCGTGTCGCCCTTCATCTCGCCGTTTTTGTTTGGCTTTCTCGTGGCGCGAACTTCCTGGCGCTGGGCTTATGGCATCGGCTCCATATACGGCCTGATCGTCGTGGTTCTGATCGCGCTCTTTATGGAGGAAACGTCTGTCCGCTGTCGTCCGGTATCAATTCCGCGGGACTGATCGCTTCGCAGAATGTACGATCGAACTGTCAAGCCGATCCCGCCGCGCCCGACTTCAGGGCTTCGCTATCGAATCGAAACGCTCGTTGGGATAACGGGGTACAAGATGCAGCAGTACCGAATCTCGTGGGGCGAGGCAATCATCTCACCCTTGAATGGTGGGCTTATTCCTTCCCGTCCCAATACGGCCCCAATCTCACGAATAACAGTCATATGGCGCCCGCACATCTTCGGACTGCTTGTCTTTGAGGTACGCATTACGCTGTCTAGTGAATGAAACGTCGATGAAACGACGCCAGGCCTTCTTGTTCGGATTCGGCATTGGGATCAACGTGAGCAATCCCATGAATTGACTGTACATCAAGTGCTGACATGGTGCGTCAGGTCACGAACGCAGTTTTCCTCGGCAGCCCGCCTCCCGTTGGATTCGGATGGTCCCCCTTCGCCACTGCCGGGGGGTACGGCACTCCGATCGTGAGTCTCACTTTTATTTACTTATTTTTGGTTTCCTCACAACCAACGATGTGCAGGTGGCCGTCATCCTGGGCGAACTCGTGGGTCGCTACGTGAATGATTGGATCATGAACTGGAGCATCAAGCGCAACAACGGGGTCTTCGAGGCTGAAAGTCGACTCTGGGCCTGTTACGTTGCGTTGCCGCTGTACATTGCCGGATTTGTGCTCCTCGGTGCCGCGTTCCAGAACAAACTCAGTCCCGGTGCCCTCGTGATAGGTTGGGGACTGGCGGTCATGGCCATCATGATCACCACCGTCGCTGTTTGTGAGTGCTGCGTTTTCATCTGTCTTCATTGGAAGCTCCCATGCTCAAGTCTCCGTCCAGATGCGTACTGCAACGACGCTTTCCCAAAGCATCAGGTTTGTTGTCACATTCGCCCTCCACGAGACCCACGTGACTCACAGTTCAATTTTCTGTAGGGCGAAGTCAGTGCGCTGATCAATCTGTGCCGTACTTTGGGCGGCTTCGGCGTTGCTTACTTCCAGGTCAAATGGGCTCTGGAACACGGTGCCCTCCAGGTGTTCGGTTGCGAAGCAGCGTGAGTGGCATCCTTTTTTGTCGCCATTTGGATAGATCGCTGATCAACGCATACATCAGCATCGTGGCAGGTCTGTTCTTGCTTGTGATCCCTGCTCTCCAACTTTTCGGGCGGGATGTTCGGGCCAAGTTCTCTCTCCATTGATGACGGGTGGCAATATGATCTATATACCAAGTTCGGCTTCAAAATTTGCCTGATTTTAGTTGATTTTCCCTTTAAATATGAAGTGTGTCGAGTCTGCACCGCACCCGCGTGAAACTCAGGAAATCGTTGATACTCGCGTACAAATGGAGCGCGATGAGCAATGGGGCGGGCCACAGAGCGCCGGATCTCTCCATCTGAATGAGTCTACCTGGTGAGTAATTCATTCCCCTCCGGATTGTTCTTAGCGTGGTATCTAGTCGAGTACTACGGTATTCGGCTTGTCATTTTCAGTCTCATCGAGTCGATTTCGATGGCCACTGAAGCATTACGGTTAGTCACAGGGATTTTGAATCAAGTTCCTGACGATACATTGAGCTTTTGATTGTGCTATTCACTGAAATTTAGGCTCTTATGAAAGCATACTATCCCAGCCCAACGCAAAAACTGAGTTTTCGAGTGATATGCGACTGAAATTCCGAATTCCAACGTTCAATTTCCTGCAGACTCTGCTCTCCTTTTGGTCCTGATTATGTCCTCAGCCTCACTAACAACTCTTTGATGACCCCAGAATGATGTCATCACACCGGCGGATGCCAAATAACAGGAGCCATAAAGCTTCATTTATAGTTGAGATATTGTAGTACAAAAAAAGTCCTACAATAGTCGAATCAATAGTTAAAATATAATGCATACCTAAAGAGCCCCCGTTTAATCACCTATCAGAGCGTAAAATGTAGCTTTAGAAAAACGACATATCAGGACTCTAATTAGATTACTCATTTATGTAGCTTTTTTGCCACAGATCAAGGACACTTATTTGGAGCAGAAAAGGAGCAATATGAGGAAGGACACTTTTGACCGCAATATGACCTAAAAAGATCTCGCTAATGGTGACAATCATATCTGTGATATAAGTGCGGCTTTTTGGGCCGCACTTATATCACAGATATCACGGTTGCAAATATGTATCGCTGGATGATCTGCCGCTCGTCCGCCGCTCATTGGTGGATACAGGTCAATTTCATATATACACTAGTTGATACGATGTTTTTACTGCTATATATATACAATGGTAAGCACATGTAAGTACAAAGGTCCATTCACCCGATGTCAGCAAGGAAGTCGGCATGGACCGTGTCGAGATTTTTGGATAGGCGCCAGGCTGCACTGTAGCCACGAATCCTGTCTTTCCAACGCGTGTTGTTGAGAAGCACAGCTCGGTTTTGCTCCATCTCGAGGAGGATGTCTTGGAACCACCGCTCGCAGTCTGGCGTCCACCAACCAACACTCAAACCAGAAGAAAAGAAGGCTCCAGCTTGTGGCCACCACGACACTCGTTTCTCTTGATGTCCGTTGCGAGCACCAGAATGCAGCTGGTCTAAGTAATGTTAGAATGATGTAACATTCTGTCACGAGGTGAAAAACTTACTCATCTCGATACTATAAACACCGAGGACCAGATCCTCCTCCTCCTTGGTCAGCGCATGATAATAGAAAGATGTGTCATTGAACTTGAGACACTCTTCAGCTATTTCGACGTCTACAAACTCCGTTCTCAGATCCAGCTCTGGGTCATCAATGATCAGGCGTGCAAGACAAGCCACAATACCGCCCGCTTGAAGCGCAAGCCGGCCACGGGGAGAATGAAGAAAGCGTGAGAGCAGTTCCCAGTATTTGCTGAGATCACCCCTGCTTGGGACATAACCTTCCGGACGGACTCCTAGGCTGCCACAGCGAAAGAGTTCTGGTCGGTATGAAGATGGCAAGAAGCTGGAAGCTTCAATGCCGATGATGAACTCAGCTCCGAGGTGGTAGAGATGCCCTATCAGCTCATTCCACAAGCTGCACCAAAGGCGGACGATGTGTAAGACTGTGGTGGCACTAAACAGAAGGATTTGGCGATCGAAAGCTCCCTCTTGAGTACGGGGCTGCAGCAGATAGCCCGTGGAACGATAGGCTTTCTCGCTCATGGGAGCTGTAACAGCCACAATGACACCGCTCTTGGACCAGATTTTGTTCGCGGTATTCTTGTCGCTGAGATCGAAGAGGCCAGAAGGCATGTCTTTGACACACTTCGCCTTGTTCAGCACATGGAGAAGTGCCCGGACTGAATTGCTGATGGGCATTGCCATGGAAAATCCAGCGTCACCAACAAAGTGTGCGCTGACTCGCAGCCGCGCCATCTCCGTCTCCGGGAAAGAGCCCGGGGTATCGCCTATGAAGCCCACGCGGTATTCGAGAATGGCCCTGGTAGGATTGTGTTCAGCCACAAATACCGGGGTGGTCTTCCATGGCTGTTCTTCGTCTGTGCCGCGGTTGTACATATCAACCTGCCCCAGGATGGCGCTGGCGTTAGACAGCGCTGACTGCACTTCGACGGAAAGCCCTGCAGGAAGTTTGCCCTCAAAGTCATCCGTGGGATCACAGTCCTGGCGGAACTCTGTAGGATGAGCGGTGGCAGGAGGGTTTCCATAGAAGCCAAAGCCAAAGTCGTCGTTGTCGTCGTTGTCGGAATATGAGACAACAGCTGTTGGGTCCAGGGGAAGGCAGAGGTCCCACTCATTGCTAAACGAGTCATATATACGCTGCGACTGTGCAAAATCATCCCATTCATCCTCGACTTCATTGCGCTGCAGGAGTCGGCGAATCCAAAACTTCTCCTTTTCTTCCCAAATGAAAACTCGAGCACCCTTTTTGCCTGGTGCAGCGTGTGACAATGCGCCTCTTTCGCGTTGCAAGCGCGACTGCTGCTGTTGTGGCGTTTCCGCCGCAAGCCGGCGCTTGTTTCGAACAGTCCGACGCGCAAAGAAGTCCTTGTAGTCTTCCCCTGGTTTCTGCCCACTGTGAGGGTCAACAGGTGGGAACTGTCGCTGAGGGGAATCCAGAGTCTCATAGTATTCGGGGTTGGGAATAGTCCCGAATTGCCGCATATTCCATGGAACAAAAACATACTCCTTACTGGCAACTTCAACCAGAGGGAGCTCATTCAACACGCGGATTGTGTCTTGAACGCTTAGATGAATCTTCCGCATGGATGGGAAGGCTTCCACATGCGTGGCTCGATTCACAGCTTCATTCCCCTGGCCGAGGAAGAAATAGAGGGGGAGATGGATAGAAACGGTGTCATTGACAAGGAGAGAGAAGAGCCAGTCAAGCTCATGCGGATTCTCCAGTGTAAAATCCAGGATCATTCCCGCAGGATTACGGAGAAGACGTTCCACGACGGCCTCCAGCGAATCCATCAGTCGGTGCGGCATGTGAAGCGCTTCCATAACGGTGCTGCGCCAACTGGCTCGTTCAACGGATCCGTCAAGGGCCAAAAAAAAGATAGCGATCGCGCCTAGTAGTGGCACAAACGCATCTCGAGAGCGAGCAACAGCATTGGCAAGCTCTTCTTCCGTCGCGAAGGAATCCGAATAGCCAAAAGTTATAGGCCGTGCTTGCATCGTTCCGCAATTCGGAGCAGGGGAAATTTGGCCAACGTGCCATCGAAGGGTGACTGCCACGCGATTCAAGAATCCTTCCAGATTCGCCCACCGCTCCACAATGGTCCACGACATAGCCCAGCCAAGACCAGTCTCCATCTGCTTTTTTACTGTAGGTAATGAACACAGGGATATGTCCAGAACACCAACGAGGTCCCCGTCAAAAATGGGATATCGCGGGCCACAGGCAAGGAAAACCCGTCGGACGCTCATCCACGAGGTTGCGTGCAGCGCAGGACGGTAGTGATGCCTAGATTTGGGGCGCGGGATCCGAAGCAAAGCATTTCAATCGGCATTGAAGACGATGAATACACCTAGTTCGTTGCGGACGACGCCGTGGAAATGAGATGCAGCCTTTTCTGGGTCAGTTCAGAGAACGCGTTTAGGTTTAAGAACTGACAGTAAGCGTTTTCCTCTCGAAATCGGCCAGATGTGCGAGGGGGACAAGGTAGTGCGGTGCACCACCACCGAGTTCGGCCGTACTGAGTTCGTCTGGGCTGAGTCCCGACGGGTTGAGTGGGACAGAACTTGAAGGGCCGCGCGGCAAACACGTCGGCTGTCCTCCTCAGGGACCCGGCGGCAAACGCCCGAGTCCCCTTTTCCCTCTCTGCCCGCCTCCGCCTCGCTGTACGCCGTGGTTCATGGGAGTGTAGCGTTGCAGGTGGTGAAGAGTCACACAAGATGAGTCACGTGTTTGATGACTTGATCATCAAATTCACAATGTCATCTTTCTGACTTGCTACTCACCAACCTCCAACGAGCTACTAGGCGTTTGCCGCCAGTAGTTCCGAAGCGCAGCGGTTGAAGCTGATTGATGCTAAACGTATATTCACCTGCTCACTTGCTGCGCCACTCGCATACTCAAAAGATCGATGATGCCCTGCAAGCGTTTGCCCCCAAGAGCCTTACATCGTGTCCGATTTTGCCAAGCTGAAGTGTGGCGTAAGAAGCAAGGTGTGGTAGAAGTAGTCGACGAGTTCAGAGATGCTGCGGCTCGCGGAGAATGCGCCGTGGCCACACTGGTACGCATTGACCGTCAGCACTTTTGAGCACCTGCAAAATTCTGCTTACCTCGTGACCGATAAGATATCGGTGAATGCAAGGCCCCGGAGCCACCAGCTGAAGGGCTGAGTTAGTGTCGCAGACAATACCGCGCAGTGGAGATACGACCAGTAGCGATCACCTATAAGACAGAGTCTCAGCGAGTGTAGAGACACAGGAGCTATATCATTAGCTGTACCTATAAGACAGATTCTATGGTACAAGTCATAAGTAAGGTCATTAGATTGTAAGGGAGAATGCATACCTCAGCGAGTGTAGAGACACAGGAGCTGAGGATATGGAGCGTATAGTACTAGGTTTATATACCAGTCTGGAGCAGATATCATGATGTCATAGTGGAGTAATGATATCATAGATGAGTAATGGATGACGCAATAATGAGGTCAGGTATGAGGTCATTGTGGAGCGAGCCAAAGTAATCTAAGAATACTACTTATGATGTCATGTCTACATACTGTGATAGTCGCTAATACAAACAAGCTTCAACACTCCCACTCGACTAAACAGTCGGATCACGAAGACCCAAAGACAGCCGATGTTGTTGGAACTTCACCCATGCCAGAGACTTTGTGAGCGTGTCGGAGATCATCACATCAGTCGGCACATGGTAAAGTTGGACATTGCCAGCTTCGACGGATTCTCGTACAAAGTGATAGCGGATGTCGATGTGCTTCGTCCTCCTATCATGAACTGGATTTACTGCCATAAAGATAGCGCCTTGGTTATCAACACAAAGAGGCGTGGATGGCAAGTCATATCCGAGCTCAGTCAACAAAGTGCGGATCCAGGCAATCTGGCGCGTAGCATCGCTCAGAGCCATGTATTCGGCCTCTGTTGAGGACAAAGCGACCGTGGGTTGGCGTCTAGAAACCCAGGTCACTGCACAACCGGCGATGAAGAAGGAATATCCCGTGGTTGAATGCCTGTCGTCTTTGTTCTCCGCCCAATCAGCATCGGAATAACCGATAAGGCCTGCGCCAGTGGAACCATCATAGCAAAGTTGGTAGTTTTTGGTGCCCTGAAGGTACCGGAGTATGTATTTTGCCATGTTCCAATGATGTTCTGACGGGTTGCTGTTGAACTTTGATAGACGGATGACTGCATAGGCAATGTCGGGGCGAGTACCAAGCATGGCGTATAGAAGGCTGCCAATCAGTTGCTGGTATCGGGTACGACGGTCTTCATCAACTTCTCCATCATGCTTCTCGAGCACGATGCCGGAAGGCAGGGGAGTACGAGCTTCTTTACACGAAGACATCCGGAAACGTTCTAGAACTCCTTCGATATAGGAAGCCTGATCGATCCAGATTTTACGCGCTTTGCGATCACGAACTATGTTCAGACCAAGGAAATCCTTCGCAGGACCGAGATCTGTCATTTTGAAGCGATTCGCGAGCAATGATTTGATACGCGCTATCTCCGGCAGATTGTTGCCCATAATGAGCATATCGTCAACATACAGCACCAAGATGATGACCGTATCTCCCATTTGTTGGCGATATGTGTAGACACCGGCGTCGGAGTATGTCCGAGCAAAACCAAGTTCGAGGAGGGCATTGTGGATTTTGATATTCCACTGACGAGACGCCTGTTTCAACCCATAGAGTGATTTACGAAGGCGTGCCACCTTTTCTTTTGGCCATGACGAGAAACCTTTGGGTAATTCCGGAAGTTCCATATAGATTTCTTCCTCCAGATCCCCGTTTAGGAATGCCGTTTTGACATCCATGGCATGAATCTCCCAATCTTCGAGAGCAGCCAGAGCCATAAGTATGCGCAGAGATTCGTAGCGCAATACTGGCAAGAAGGTCTCATCATAGTCAAACCCATGAACCTGAGTGAATCCCTTGGCAACAAGTCGTGCTTTGAAACGACCGTCACGCTTCCTGCTAAACACCCATCTGCATTTGACAGTCCGCGTGGAAGGCTGGTTAAATCCCAAGTACAGTTTTCCTCGAGAGAGTCCAGTTCTTCGCGCATTGCGCGCTCCCACTTGAGTGCATCCGGGCTCTTTGCTACGTCCCGCACGTTCTGAGGCAATTCATGCTCAGCTTGGGCAGCTGACAACATGGACTCAATGCTGCTAGGCCTCTGATACGTACTTCCATCCGGTAAAATGCGGGGCTTATTTCGACGAGGGCGGCAATGTGCAATTGGGCGATCGTCTATTGGGCCAGGCATTAGGGGTACTTCTCGCGATCCCGTGACAGGACCTTGTTGCGCGAGGGGTGCCGGGGGCGGTGGAAGAGCAGGGGGTGGTACACTTGCATAAGGTGTTGCAGGCGCAGGATTATTGATAAGGTCAGGGAAGGTTTCCTCGAATGGTGTGAACGGCTCCGGTCCAGAGGACACATTGCCGGTGACTAGCTTGGACTTGGCAGGGAATACTCGCTCATCGAACTCAACATTTGAAGAGACTCGTATCTTGCGTTGATTCGGATCCCACACTTTCCAAGCTTTTGTCTCTCGTTCGTATCCAACGAAGATGTGGTCGGGGCGTCCATGCTCCAACCCTTTCGGGCGTTTTTCAACATCCACATAGAGAGACGCCTTGCATCCAAACACACGGAAATAAGAGACGTCTGGCTTCTTTCCAAGCCACAGTTCCGCAGGTGTTCGCCATCCCAATCGTGCCATAGGTTGTCTATTATGAACGTGGACAGATGCATCCATAGCACATTGCCAGAAGCCTTTGGATAGGCCGGCATCGAGGCGCATGCATTCCGCTTTCTCGTAGGCTGTGCGATTCCAACGTTCAGACCTCCCATTTTGCTGTGGTTCGCGTGGCGCGGACTTAGGGTGCATAATACCACGTGCATTGAGCCAGGCTGTGAGTTCATCGGACATATATTCGCCTCCACGATCTGACCGGAAGGCCAGTACTTTTGTGCCAAGCTGACGCTCTGTAAGGGCAACAAAGTTTTTAATCGCAGTAGAGGCTTGGTCCTTTGATTTAATGAACACCATCATGCCAAAGCTCGAGAAATCGTCGTAGAACGAAATTGTGTAGCGTGAACCTTCCAACGACTGAGTAGGCCAGGGGCCCATCAAATCAGTGTGAATAAGCTCGAGGGGTTTGCTAGCACGTTTCTCTGATGCAGGGTACGGATGCTTGTGCTGTTTTCCAAGCATACATCCATCGCACATGCCGCGCTGGTCTTTATTGCGTCGCAAGGGGGGAACACCTTCAACTTGTGTCGGCAAGTGAGTAAGGGTCCTCCGAGCCGCATGACCAAAACGCTTATGCCACAATTCACGATCGGTAGTTTCCAGGGAAGCGAGCGCGGTAGACTCGTGAGATGCAGACACAGATGGTGCCACGAGCTCCTCGGGGTAGTACCAGTAGCAGCGATTGCTTGCTTTAAAGGTCATCAAGACATCCCCATGCGCTTTTCCCTTGTTGAGCCAATCCTTGGTGACTAGGATTGCCTTGTTGTCACCAACCACGGTGTAGTAACCAGCCTGATCGAGCGCATACCCAGAAAGGTAACGCCCTCTTATGTGCGGGTTGTAGATGACATCCTTCAGCGTGAAGGTGTAGTCGATGCCACTACTAGTATGACCCCGCAACACAATATCTCCAATGGCTTCATTCTTGAAGCGAGCTCCCGACCCAACGATTACATAGGTGTCGATAGGTCTGATGTTGTGAAGATCAGATCGGGTGTTTGTCATATGATGCGTACAACCCGAGTCCCATAGAAAACGAATTTTGGAGTCGTCTCCCATTTCTTCAACAAAAATTCCATCATCGATGTGTTTGAGGGAGTCACTCATGAGATAGGACGAAATGTGCATTCCATTGGAGGCAGCTGCAACCGCGGGAGCGGCTACAACTTCTTTTACAGCGCTAGTACCATCACCGCTCTTCTTTTCCTTCTTCTTTTTCTTCTTCCCCTCATCCTGCTTCCCCTTGCCTTTGTCAGAAGATTGACCAGTCGGCTTGAGGTTGGGATACTTCTTGTAGCAGGATGCCGCAACGTGACCAGACTTGTTGCAATGAGTGCAGCGGGTGGCAAGGGACGGAACGGTCGAAATCTTCGAGTTCGACGTCGTGTCGAGGTTCTCGATCTTGATATTCCCTATGACGCTGTTCTTGACATCGACTGGGTTCAGAGAAGCGATAGGACGATTGGCCAGGTAAGAGGTGACGAAACCTCTGCTGGAAGCGGGCAAGGCGGCGAGCATTAGAGTTGCGAAGAGGTAGTCGGGGATCTCGATTCCTCCTTCCGAACACTGGCGACGACGAGTCTCCATTTCCATGATTTGCTTTTCAATGGTATCACCACCGTGGAAGGTGGTGGTGTTCAGGAGGCGGTACTCGACAAAAGCATTGATGGCATTTGGTTGGCCATAATCCGTCGCCATCTTCGCAAAAACCTCGCGCGCAGTGCGCTCCCGCTGACCGTCCATAAAGATTCCCTTGCGCAGATTCTGGGTGATATAAACCCGCGCAAGACCCAGTGCCTTTTCATTGGCAACGTCCCATTGATACTGGCTGTCACCAGCTGTTCCAGGACGCTCCATAGAACCAGGGTTCGAGGTAGATGTGCCGTTAACCATAATATGAGTGGGTTTAACCACTCCCCAGGTGCCCTGATGCATGCAGATGCTCATGTAGTTGTCCGACCACGTATTCCAATTGGTGCCATCAAAGACACTCAGAATGGAGTTGTTGAGTTTCTCGATTCCCGACATGGTGGGGAGATACTCGATAACGTCGGCGGTTTGGTAGTGAAGAGAGGGGAATTCGATATAGGGAGGATCACCGAATAGAGATCGAAGTTCTGGAGTCCAATTCTCTTGGTGATGGAAGAACTCTTCGTTATCGTGTTCTCCAAGATCGTATAGATCCCTCCAATCGGCGTCTTGGAGAGGAATGTAAGAAGGTCCCTGAGCCCAGCGGACAACAGGAAATAGGATAACCCCAACGGGAGGGTCGTCTGGTGATGACAGGGTGATAGAGATGACTAGAGCGACAAAGTCAGCCCCAGATTCTCTGCAGACCAAGAAACAAAATCCCGAGTGCCAAATCTCTGAAACGAGAACGACCAAGCGTCCCCATCCCATCCATGATGCCCATATACGCGCGGGGAATGATAACAAAATAAAGCGGTATAGTAAGTGCCCATATTTGTATCAAAGTAACG